AGATCACATTTTATGACAAATTAATGCAGAACACCATGAAATTCCAAAAGGTTCACATACTCTTTCTTGCAACTGTATATTATCATAGGATTTGTAATATTTTTACATGATCCTTTATGTCGTATTGCACATAGTGTTTAAGGAATTCCTGACATTTTTTTAACATCTCATTCTTAATAATATAATATCCTTTTCTGAACTTGTTTAATAAAAAGACATTTTTAAAGCATAAAACTGTTTCTCACTTGTTAAAACAGAGTAAGAGGAGGGAGAATAAAAAGTTTCACCGAGAAGGGGAAAGACCAGCAACAAACTGTAAAAACTGATTCCTCTATTATTTTGTCACAAATGAGAGATGCATTTGCATGTGAATTGAATACATTTCAACAAAACCCCGATTTTTAAACTTTTAATTTAAACATTTGGAAGAGAATATAATTAAATTGATACAACAGAAGCAGCAAGACTCAGAAGCCTAATTAGATTATTAAGTTTAAAAGGCATGACATTCCTTTTAAACTTGGATATATTTAGAAAGTGAAGAGACACAAGATTTTTGGCATCTTGTCTCCAAGAAGGAAAGATGAAATATAGGTGGGCTACTCCATTTCATCGGGAGGTTTACATGTATGGCAGCAAAGCCTTTCCTATACTCAAGAATATTTGGGTCATTAACAACAAGAGAACAAGTCCCAAAAGTTCCACAACAGATAGGAGATCAAAACTAGATATATACCAGCATTGTTTCTTCCAGTAGTGAACTTCATGAACATAGTCTCAAACTGATACCAAAAGCAGGTATACCAAATGTTTGTAAGGCAGAAGTTGATCAGAAATTCAATGCTTGCATATTTTCTGTCTGCTTTGTTTACAGGGAAAGAAATACCTGGTCAAGCTTCTCTTGTCTTTGATGTGGCTCTTCTAGATCTACACAATCCTAAAGACGGGATTAGTATAGAAAAACTGTATGTGCCCAAGTCCTGTGAACGTAAAACCCAAATTGGGGATTTCCTTAGGTATCACTATAATGGTACCCTTCTTGATGGAACGTTGTTTGATTCCAGGTAATCATATAATTAAACATAAATTATGTTCTTCACATATTCTTAGCAGTCCTTGGCTAATCTTTTTCCCAGCTTTGTTGGAAGGCCTTTTAAATTAATGAGTATAAATATATCAGTAATTAACAAATAAGATTGATTATGTGCCATCAAGCTGGTGTCAGTCTTAGCAATCATGTAGATAGATTTTCTCCAGGAAATAAACAATATACCAATATTTTAAAAATAAATAAGAAGTTTCACCCAGATACCGTATTTTTCCAACTATAAGACAATACTTTTTTCTAAAATCCTTACCCTAAAAATTGAAGGGCGTCTTATTCAAGGAAGTAAGCCGAGAATCGCGTGGTTGCAAAACTGCCCATACGTTGTTTCTGCAGAGTAACTTGCTCCTATTGCTAGCCTCCAATCACGAGTGAAATAGCTTG